CTCGTGATTGAAGCCGCGCCTGTCGGCCCTCATCCGCCTCCTCAGCGTCGTCAGGTCCCCTACTTTCCGTCCATCAGCCTTGGCCGAAGGGCTGGGCTGGGGAGGAGGGTTCAGGTTTAGGTATTTCGAGCGCGGGCAGTTCGACCAGATGCGAACAGCCGCCTTCTTCTTCTTTTTCTTTTTTGCTGCAAGGAGGTGCCGCCCCTTGGGAGGCCCCACGCCCAGGGAGGCCTGGGTGCTTCCCCGCGCCGTTTTTGGGTTTGAACTGGCTGCTCTGCCCACTCCCCCTGCCGACATTGGGAACGGTGTTCGGGCCTCCCCATGACGGCGTGGAGGAGGGGGTTGTGGTGGCCAGCTCGAGCCCTTCTGCGAGGCCCATGCCTCGCCGCCGATGGCCACTCACCTTGCGTGCAACGGCTCTCTCGGTGAGTCGCCAGGCTGGCCCAGTCCCGAAGAGAGGACCAGCTCCAACGTACCCGCAGGGGTCTCACTAGCTCACAAGCGTAGAGGAGCTACGACCCCCGAGCGGCTGCCTTGCCTTGCCTTGCCTTGCCTTGCCTTGCCTCTTCCTCCTCCTCCTTGCTCCTCCTCCTCCTCCTCTCCTCCTCCCTCCTCTCCTCCCTCTCCACTCCTCCTCCCTCCCCTCCTCCCGCCTCCTCCTCCCCTCCTCCTCCTCCTCCTCCTCCTCCTCCCTCCTCCTCTCCTCTCCTCCTCCTCCTCCTCCTCTCCTCTCCTCCTCCTCCTCCTCCTCCTCCTCCTCCTCCTCCCTCATCCTCCTCCTCCTCCTCCTCCTCCTCCTCCTCCTCCTCCTCCTCCTCCTCGTCCTCCCCCCTCCGCCACATCCTGCGAATCACACTCCCTTCCGTCCTTCATCTGTTCGGCCCTTCGTCGCTTGAAGAGCCCCCCGCCTTGCGGCAGCGGTGCCGTTCTCACGCCCACCACCGGTCGAAGCAGCCAAAGCATACGTCCAGGAAGGACAATGTTTGAACTCCTGCGTGTGCGCGAGTGTGCAGCGAGACAGGCGGCCAAAGCACGCTGGGCACACTGTGGGGCGAGAGATGAGCGTAGTGTTGACATTGAGTAGTGCTTGAGTCAGAACCCCGACTCATCGGGGTTGGGGGTGGTCAGGGGTAGCGTTAAGTCGGGCACGTCCCTCTACAGGAGGAATCTCCAAAAATAGTCAAATTGGCCTGACGAAGGACCCAGCCATATGCTGCTGCGAGTGCCGCGAGGGAGAGGAGACGAAGGAGGGGCGCGGCAACAAAAAGGACTGCGGCGTGCACGAGGGGGAGGAAAGCTGACGCGGGCGAGCGGGGAGTCTTCCCGGGTTCGCCCGAGCCCCGCGCGCGGCCCGTGGGCCTGCGTGTGAGGGGCGTGCCGAACATGGGGCGGCGGTGCCACGCGGACGCTCCCGCTGGGGCCTTCGGCGGAGCTCCCGAGTGGGGCCACGAACCGTGTGAGGGGTGTGCCGAACATGGGGCGGCGGTGCCATGCGGACGCTCCCGCTGGAGCCTTCGGCGGAGCTCCTTATGAGGCCACGAACCGTGTGAGGGGAGTGCCAAAATGAGGCGGCGGTGCCATGCGGACGCGCCCACTGGGGCCTGCGGTGGAGCTTCAGAATGATGCGGCGGTGCCATGCGGACGCTCCCGCTGGGGCCTTCGGTGGAGCTCCCTATGGGGCCACGAACCGTGTGAGGGGCGCGGCGCTGACGATGCCGATGGTGATGATCATGATGGTGTGGATCATGACGATGGCGATGATGATGGCGATGATGTTGACGATGATGAAAATGACGATGACGATGACGATGACGATGACGAGGCAGATGGGAGGAGTGAGGAGGGGGAGGAGGGAGGGGGCAGCGGGAGGAGGTGAGATGCGGGGCGGTGTCTCTTCAAGATGAGGACCCAACACCACAGGATGGTTGGGAAAGAATAGTCAGTGGCCGATGTTTCTATCCTTGTTTGGATAATTTTTCATCCTCTTTTGGCTATCTTTGATCGTTCTCCCAGAACCCCCCTGTCCACTCCCGACTCATCGGGGCCGGGGGGTGGCCAGGGGTGGCGGGTAGCTACCAGCCGCGCGTCGGGGCCCGAGGCGGAGCTGCAACCACACCGGGGCTGTCCTGGATCATTCGGGCGCCCGTCCCCTCCCGACTCGATTGGTTCGGATGCCACTCCTGGGAGGTTATTAGATTCTGACGCTGGCCTGGCCCGAAAACCAGCTTACTCCGGCCGATTCCCGCTTACACTGGCTCACTCCCGCCTGCTCCGCGGCCTGATCTGGCGCAGTAGCGCCCCAGTGGGGCTTCCTCCTCCCTCTTCCCTCCGACAACGGCCTCCCAGTAGCTGCCTCCTACCATTGGGACTGGGGATGCAAAAAAAAACGAAGGATTGCAAAAAAAACCCTTCGTTTTTGTTTGCAATCCTGGGTTTTTTTTTTTTGCAATCCAGGGTTTTGTTTTGCAATCCTTCGTTCAGGGGGGTCTAGTTCTTGCTTCGTGCGTCGGGGACCCAAGCCCGAGTGCCACCCCGAACCAGAGCTGTCCCGGATGGCTCACGCTCGACGCTCCGCACGGAAATTTTGGGGGGGGTCGGCCTCGGGCCCCCCCTTGGTGGCGCTTCTGGAGTCGCCACCCCTTTGCGCGCTCCGCAAGCCAGGGGAGGAAGGGGGGGGGGGTCCGCCCCGCGCGGGCCTCAGAGACATCATGCTTCAGCAGCTGTTTTGGCTCCTCTGGCTGGGTAGTCGAAGGCCAGACTGTCAGACTGGATTGGGCCCCACGGGCCAATCTGGCCTGGCCAAACTGGATGATTTGGGTTATTCGCCAGACTGGATTCGCGCTGGCTCCCTCGCCAGATTGCCCCCGTTTGCCAGATTGGGCCTGCCAGATTGGCGCCAGATTGGCTTCGACTACCCAGCAATTATTCAATGAAGGGACGTCACCCCTCAGTGCAAGCACCGCTTGGGGAAAAGCAGCTTCGCTTCTCGCGGCTCTTTTGGAGGTCCTCTTGGGGCCCTTTGGAGGTGTTTTGGGGGCCCCTAGGGCCGTCAAGAGGCCCTCTGGGGCGTCCTGGGGCTCTCCCGGGCCGTCTCGGACCCTCTTGGGCTCGCATGGACTACCCAGTTTGCTCCTCTGGGGGACTGGAGGGCAGGCCGCAGCCGCAGGCTCCTCGAGCAGCCCCCACTTTGGCCTCCACAGGTCCTCCTCCTCCTCCTCCTCCTCCTCCTCCTCCTCCTCCTCCTCCTCCTCTCCTCCTCCTCCTCCTCCTCCTCCTCCCTCCACCTCCTCCCCCTCCTCCTCCTCCTCCTCCTCCTCCTCCTCCCCCTCCTCCTCCTCCTCCTCTCCTCCTCCTCCTCCTCTCCTCCTCCTCCTCCCCCCCCCTCCTCCTCCCACCTCCTCCTCCTCCTCCTCCTTCTACTCCTCTTCCTCCTCCTCCTCCTCCTCCTCCTCCTCCTCCTCCTCCTCCTCCTCCTCCTCCTCCCTCCGAGGGAAGAGGGGAGGAGAGCAGACGCGAGGGGGGAGAGGGTCGGCGGCGAGCGACGCGGGGGAGTGAGGAGAAGGTCGGGGGCGGCACAGAGGGGGGGGATGACTACGGGGGGTGGATCTCGTGGCGTGGGCCGTGATATTCCCCCAGATTTCACGGCGCCTCTTCTCATGTCATTACGTCCCTGGCCCCCCCGCTGGGCCGCGCACATGCCGCCGGTCATGATTTGCACCCCCCCCTCTTGGACACCCCCCTCTTGGCCGCTCCCGATGGTCTGGGGCGGTCTCGGAGGAGGAGGAGGGGGTCTGTTGGGACCACTTGTCGGACTTGTTGAGGCTATCCGAGGTCGCCTTGGGGGCTGTCTGTGCGCAGCCCGGAGCCTTACCAATCGTTCTATCCCCCATCCGCTCCCTCCTGTTCCCCTCCCCCCGCCGCCCCCCCTTATATACTCCCCCTTCTGCTATTGCGAGGTCGGATCAGCCACGAAGGTCCCACCTGAGCCTCAGCTAGCACATGCTCGCGCTCTCTGTGTCGTTTGTCTTGGACTTGCTGCTGACAGCTCTTCGGTGAACGCCCCTGGTCGGAATGGATATTGCCCATCCGTCGTCGAAAGTAGGTTATCTTTGGATTCCTAGATTCCAATGTACTTCAAGCGCCGTCATACTTCAATGATCGAGTGGCTCCACCTTTTCCGTCCTCCTTAGGGGCTGGACGGAACCCAATCTATTTTCAACGCCTTCTTGCTTCATGTTTTTACCTACCTCTTCCGACCGATGGGCACCTCTGTACACTGCACGCCGACAGCCTCTCGGCTGCCACGGGGATCACAGCTCGCGCCTCTCCGAGAGGGTCAGGCTCGGCGGCGAGCGTGCAGCAGAGGACGTGCGCAGCCGGCCCTCGAAGGCGACGCGCCGAGTGCCCAGAGGTCGCAGGCCTAGAGGTTGACGCCAGCACCAACTTCGGCGGTGTGCCTCCACCGAGAGAAGAAGATCCCGATCTCGGTGATGGTGGTCATATTCTGGCTTCCAAGGTGGCCGAACTATTACCACCAACGCCGAAATCTAGGATCACCTTCCCCCTGTGGAGGCACCCCCCTGTGTTGGTGTTGGTGCCCATTTCCAGGCCTCCAAAGAGGCGCGAAATCTTGGCGGTTCGGCGGTGACGCTGATCAGGCGAGGAGGTCGTTCAGCGCAGGAGCCACTGCTGGAAGCAGAAGACTGAGATACCCTCCCAGCATCTCCCATCTCTCCTCTCCCTTGTTTTTTTGCCTCTTCCCTCCTTTCCCTGTCCTCCTGCCCCCTCCCTCTTGACTCCCCTCTCCTCTCCCTTTACTCTCCCTTCCTCCCCTCTCCTTCCCAAGGAGTATGGGGATGAGGAGAAGGAGGAGGAGGAGACAATAGGGAGGTGGAGAAGAAGGAGAAAGGGAAGTGGGTTGTGAAGGAGAACGAGGAGGCAAGGGGGATGAGGATTAGGCATGGTATTATTGGCATCATGTGACAGTGCGCTGGTCGCAGGTATTCCATGGCGACGATGATGATTCGTCTTGGACAATGCGCTACAACTTGACGTCGTCAAAACCCATGTTCCTGAAGGACGCCATTTCTGATAGGAAGGGATGATGATGATGCTGTTCGAAGGCATGATCGCTCATAATCTGCTTGTTTAGGCTTCATGCTACGCACGGTACGTCACCGATCCACATCGGTTGCCCATCCCTTGGGTTTGAGCAAACAAAGGGCGCGGTGCACCTGTTTCTGTTGTTGGCACGCACGTGTGACCATGTCTGATTGACATGATAGCGATGGCGTCAATGGCGCTCTCAGTCTGTAGGTTGACCTGCCCAGTTTTCAGGCTTGCGTCATGACACCCCTGACGGGGACTGAGCTCCTCGCGTTTGCGATCGAAAGCTTCGGGGGGGACGCCTTGAGGGGAGCCTCTGCGCAAAGAATTGCACGAACTAGGTCGTCCGAGGCGCTGCTATGGCATCCACCCACGCCCCGCCCAGGGCAGGTTTTCCCTCCTATTTGAGCGACTTGGGAAACACGGAGCTGACTGCGCGCACACTCGCGCGTAGGCTCTCCGCGTGGAGGTCGCGCGCAAGTGCCCTCTTCGCCGCGAAAGTGTGCCATTCAGACGGCCCGCGTACGCCGCGGCGTAAGGTCGCTGTGCCATGGTGCGTGAGGCCCCTTTCCTTTCGTCGCTCCGTGGGTGTCTGCCTGTCTGTCTCTCCACATGCCCAGTCCCGAGTCACCGCCAAGGCCATTGCCTTGGCACCTTCACGCCGTAGCGTCAGTTTGAGCCACGGTGATCGCTAAGGTGGGTGTTGTGGGTATGGCTTCAACGAGAATTGGCACGACTCGTCGCAATTCTTGACGCTTCGCGTATCCTCACCAGCCTGCCCCCATTCAGAATGACGGACACGGTTGCTCTGGTACACGTCATGTCACTGTGTGGGTCATGCCTCACGGCAGGCATCGAATTCCTCGACATTTTGTCCACTGCACGTGCCCGAGCTTCCCAGGATGCCCCCTGCCGTCAGCTCCCCCACAGCCTCGCGGCTGCTTTGTGAGTGGGCCGGCCGGCTAGCGGCGCCTCTTGTAGCTAATTAGGCTTGCCCGTTAGCCCGGACACCTTGCTCGCCGCCTGCCTCTTCGCTCGCGGCCGCGACCAAACAAAGTATCCTCACCAGCTCGGCGGATAAGGCAGTCCCACGGTGGCCTTCGGCGTACATCAAGCGGCTGCTGCCGTGCAGTTCCACCCTGGGCGCCCTACCATGCTGGCGCTGTTCTTTCCCACCAGCTTGGCCTCACGCAGCGTTTCAGCCAGCGCCCGCGCAGCCGTGCGTGGATGGCCCCGTGCAGGTTCGGTGGCTCCTCATGTTGCGCGGGTTGACGGCCCCTGGAGAGCAGCCCGCTTCGAGCTGCTCAGCCTTCGCAGCCTCGGCCGCCCCCCGGGCCCGTCCCACCCCCAGTCTGGTATTCGACGTTCCTCGGCGGAGCAGCTCTGCTGGCTCGCACACGCCGTTGGCGCGGCCTGGGCTTGGCGCCCCACTGGCGACGGCCCATCGCTTACCACGTCTGGACACTCCGACGGCATGTTGGACGCGCCGCCCACAGCTATCGTCCTCATGCTCCTTCGGGTTTTGCCATTCGGCACCATGCATTCACCAGCATCTTGCCGTGTTGCAAGTGCTCGAGCACCCTGGACGCCCCCAGTTTGCAGCTCCTCCCGCGCAGTCAGCCGCTGCTGTATGAGTGGGTCGGCCGGTTTGCGGCGCGTCGAGCTGCTAATTAGGCCTTTGTCGTGACCCGTAGCGCTCCTGACTCCGCTTGCGCCTTCGCTTGCCAAAAAGTATCCACCAGCAGTACTACTCGGATTCAACCTGCCCCCCTCCACTCGCCCGTCCGCCGCTGAGGTGTTGCGTGAGGCTCCGCCTAGCCGCTTCAGGTGGGGCTGCGCCCCGCTGCTTTAGGTTAATTTGTCGTTGCGTGCCCCGCTTTGACTGGACTCGCCGCTGGCGCGATCGCCTGCGGCCGCTGACTAAAAAATACCCACACCAGCTCGCACCTCTGTTTTCCCATAGGCCGGTGGCACAGCCTGCCCCTGCTTGCCCAGCGTTCGACTTGTTTCGCGCGCCCGCGTACCAAAAAGTATCCCCACCTGCACATCCAAAAACAATCACCAGGCGAATTGTCTTCATCAGGGATGTGTATGGGGTATGCGGTCACGCGTTGAGAAGAGCCTCTTGGATGCATTTGGGGCCATGGTGGGCTCTCGTGGGCCAGCTTGGAGGCCGTTTGGGGCTCTCTTGGGGCCCTTTTTTTTTTTTCTCTTGGGACCCTCCTGGGGGCCTTCAGGGGTGTTTTGTGGAAATCTTAGGGGCCGTCGGCCAAAGAAGGGCTGAGAAGGGTGGGGCTCGCAACCCTTTCGGAGGCCAATCACAGGCCTCTCGGGGCCCTCTCTGCGGGCGAGGCCTCGGGAGGCCGTTCGAAGCGAGACGGCGAGGAAACCTCCATCCCAGACGTGCTCGCGTCGTAAAATGAATCAGGGCCCCGCTGGACGACTCAGGATGGAAAGCCGGTGCAGGGGAAAGGGTCGGGATTTCGGGGACGCCGTATTGAAGAACATCAGGGCAGCGCATGTCAGGGATTGGTGATTTCTTATGGGTTCTGGAAGGATTTGGGCCTTTGGGGGGTCCTTGGGAGGCTCCGTGACCATTTGGGGCCGTCTTGGGACTGTCATGGCGCCTCTTGGTGGCATGTTGGAAGTTATCTTGGGCAATCCTGCGCGATCTTGGAGGCAATCCTGGGCTAGCCCTGGGCTTTCGTGGCCATATTGGGCCATCTTGGACGCATCAATCTCTGGCGGAAGCGCCCCGCCCAGACCCAGGGATGGAAGGCAGGGGGAGGGGTAAGACTCCCCAAAGGGAAGTCGGAGGAAGTTGGAAGAACTGAACCCCTAAAGCACCTGTGCCCACAGGGTTGGCGGGATGTTTTTTCTTCAAGTGCGTGAGGGGTGTTCCGACTTGAGATTCTTTATCAGAATGACATGGCCGACCATGAGTACTCTTACGTCTCCCAGGACCCTTGGGGCTCAAAGTACGATGTATCTACGTGTGCCAGAAGCCCGAGAGCGCAGATCACTTGTGTTTCGCTGATGCGTCCCAGGAGAATCTGGGCCAGGACCTGCGAATGGGGTGCGCCGAAATGAAGCATTCGTGTGTCTTGGGCAGCACATCGCTAGTATTTGCACGTGCCCCAAGATACTGTGGGGCAGTAGATGCGTGAGGGGCGTGCCACATCGAGGCGTTCGTAGCCTAGACTAGGGGGGCAGATCACTGGTTGTCTTACATGCGTCAGAGAAGCTGTCACGCGCGTGGGTCTAACCCTGGGAATACATCTCACTTGTCAGTTTGCGCGCTCCCCGAGAGTTCGTAAACATGGCCCTCGTCGAAACATCACCGACCAGCGGAATGCCAGAGGCTGCTCTTAGCACGCCTTTCTGCATGCATCTCGCGATCCTCCACATCAGCATCAGATCAATCATCAACCATCGGGCCTTGAGGCGACTGGGGCCCATACGGGGCTTTCCGAAATCAAGCGCTTCTCTCACTCTGCTGGCCCATATTGCATCATCGATGTCAATTGTCCGTGTGCTCGCGGGGATCTTGAATGTGTTGTGTTGTGGTCATTTTTCCTGAAGTAGAAGTAGTAGTCGTGTGAAGCTCGCGTTAGTGGAAGCAGTCGTTTGGTAGATGGACGGCAACGCGTAGGCCATCGGTGTGGGTCAGAGGCCACTGAACTACATGTGAGGGTCTCTTGGGATGCCTCTCGGGGCCCTCTTGGAGGAACATGTTGGACCTATCTTGGGGGCTTCTCGGGAGCCTCCGAGGAAGGTTTCTTTGGCGCCTTTCGGGCCTCCTGGGGGCCTCGCCAGTTGTGGGGGGGGGGCGAAGGGCTGGAAATGAATGTTCGTGCTTCCCTCCTTGGGCCCCTCCTTGGGCCCCCTCCTGGAGCCCGTTCTGGAGCCCTCTTAGGCCGTTTTGTGAGCCGCGTGGGCAGTGTTGAGGCCTTCATGGGCCGTCTTTGGGTTTTTTGGTGGTCCCTTGGGCTGTCTTGGGGCGATATTGCGGGTCTCTTGGGCCGTCTTGGAGTTGTCGAATCCCAGAAAGGGGTAACGTTGGAATTGCTCAACACTTAGAGGGCGTCATAATAGTTAGCGTAGGCACCAAACAATGCGTCATTGCAATGCGGAGGTGTCAGTTGTGGTGTAAGTCATGCCGTGCAAGGTATGCGGTGTGAACGATGGATGCGGAGCGTGTGCGCTGTAGGCCATGCGGTGAACGGTATTTCGCGTGAGGCGGGCGGTGGAGCCATGGGATGGTGATGCACGCCGCGTTGTCCTATGTGCGCGGTGCAAGCTACGTGGTGGAGGCTATGTGGTGCAAGTTCGGAGCAGCGTGGCAGCAGGCAGGAGGAGGAGGAGGAGGAGGAGGAGGAGGAGGAGGAGGAGGGGGGGAGGAGGAGGAGGAGGAAGAGGTGGAGGAGGAGGAGGAGGAGGAGGAGGAGGAAGAGGAGGAGGAGGAGGAGGCGGCACCTGCGGCAGTGTGGCGCAGCCTTGCCATGGGCCCCCCCCCCCCCCCCCCAGCGTACGGGGCGCCCACGAGGCGGCACGGGCGGCAGCGTGGCGAACACCCAGAATCGTCAACCGATTCTGGGCAGTCGAAGGCCAGACTGTCAGAGATTGGATTGGGCCCCAAGGGCCAAAATCTGGCCTTGGCCAAACTGGATGATCTGGGTGATTCGCCAGACTGGATTCGCGCTGGCTCCCTCGCCAGATTGCCCCCGTTTGCCAGATTGGGCCTGCCAGATTGGCGCCAAATTGGCTTCGACTACCCAGCAATTATTCAATGAAGGGACGTCACCCCTAAGTGCAAGCACCGCTTGGGGAAAAGCAGCTTCGCTTCTCGCGGCTCTTTTGGAGGCCCTCTTGGGGCCCTCTGGAGGCGTTTTGGGAGGCCCCTAGGGCCGTCAAGAGGCCATTGGGGGCGTCCTGGGGCGCTCCCAGGCCGTCTCGGACCCTCTTGGGCTCGCATGGAGCTCCCTCCAGGCGTTCTTTGGGAGCTCCAGGGGTCCTGAAGCGCGCGCGCGCAGGAGTTCCAGCATCCGTGACCTGGATCGCCAGGGACTTGCCAGGGACTTGACCGAGGCATTTCTCTTGAGAATCCTAGGACCGCCACTCGCGCGCGTGGAGTATACAAGCAAGAATGTAGAAACTGGAGAGTCTTGCACACTTTGGGCTTGTTGGGTCGGCTAATTTCTGACACGGTCAAGACCCCACGTGCGCCATGAGGCAGAAGAAATTGGCCATTGGAAGTTGCCATTTCAGAAGGAATGCCCCCCAAACCCCATGGCTCTGTCTGACTCCAGTCCTGGAGGGGCAGGGGAAAAAAGCTCACATGATTATGGAATTGTCCGAGTTGGTAAAAGAGGTAACGGCAGATCATCGCATAAAGATCAGAATCGGTGAAAGAGGCGGGGCATCGGGAGAAGTCCGTAAAGATGTGATCTCGCTTCCTTCTCCCTCATCTACCCCTCCCCTCTCCTTACCCTTCCCATTTCCTGCCCCGCGTTCCCTCCACTTCATACCCCTCTGTCCTCCTCCTGCTTCCCATTCCTCTTCCCCAGTCCCTTTCCCCTGCCGCCTTCTCCTCTTCCTCCCCACTCAGCCTCCTCCCTCTTCCCTTCTCCCCATAAAGCCTTTTGCCCCCGCGTACACGAGGACCACAAGTACAGGCTCTTGGAGAATCGCAAGGAGGTGTACTCGGGCATTATCCGCCGGGAGACCACTGGGATTAACACACGCAGTTCGAATGATGCTTGACTAATAGCAGACTGCGCAGGATAATTCTACACAATGGTATTTAGCGCAAGCGCCTTACAAAATCAACGCATCAACAAACATTTGATTAAGTGCTGAGATGCTTATTCAGTTTATCGTTTCTTGTTCGTCGAAGCGGTATGTATATGATGCTGATATTTTCCGAAGGGTTTAACCCTCTGCCATTGGCCCCCAAGGCCTGTAGCTCTGCCGAGATTCATGTCGGGGCCCTCTCGAGGCCTTGTGTGCCATCTTGGGCCATTCTGGGGCATTGCTCGAGCATGTAAGATCCCAGATCGAGGGTTCACAGCCCCTCCCCAGATGGGATGGATTCAAGGGTTCACAGGTCCCGTCCCCTGTGATGGGATGGGGGGAAGACGACGATGACGACGACGACGATGATGATCACCACCATGCTACGCTCACAGGACCATGCTTATAGGAGGGGGGGAGGTTTATTGTGCCAGGGGGGGTCGGCCCGAGGGCATCAGCAAGAGGTGGGGGGGCCGGAGCCCTAGATACCAATGGCCTAGATAAAGGCCGGCAGGGTGGGTGGGTCCAGGGTTTTTTGAACCCCCCGCTGTACATTGCACCTCTCCGCTCCGCCTACACCCTCGGCGATGCTTAAGAAAACTTAAGTTTTCGGCCAGAGTCTCGATTATTCTTAATGCTTCAATGTAAATCCCAAGATTTTAATAGAAGTTCTGGTTTTTTATTCAGATTCTGAGATTATGAATTTCTTAATCCATGATTTCTTAAGCATTTCGCAGGGTGTACGGTCCCATCGTCGACGATGCTCGTTCGACGCTGCGCCGTGGGCAATTCGGCCCGAAGAGCCTCTCGAGACTTGATCCTGAACAGGCCAGATCCCTGGAGCACGTATGTGATCGTTTTCTCATTCATTTAGGGGAACAAACAATGACATAAACATAAAACTCCGAGGTCCGCGCGGATTTCTCGGATCCGCGCTGTGGACCCCCCTGGCGGCGCCTGCGGCGCCGCCCCTGGCGCGCTCCGCGCGCCAGGGAGGGGGGTCCAGCACCGACCCCGGAAATCCGCGCGGACCTCAGACTTTTTATGCTTACGTCAGTCTTCGTTCGCCCATCATTGTCTTGCCGATCGGCGCGGACCCTCGCCCTCCCCCCCCTCCCCCCCATGGAGTGGATCTTGGGTGCTTTGGGCGCCTGGTTTGAGCAGGCGGAGCCCCTCCCCCGCAGGACGCACTGCGGCAAGCGGCCGCACGGAGCAGAGGTCCGGGGCCAGACGGGAGCGAGGAACCCAGACATGCGACGCCCTGATTCTCTCAGGACGGCAGCCCCGGAAGTCCCTGGCATCGCTCGGGCGTGTGCATTTTTCCTGCGGCGACGACCGTCGAGGAGCATCCTTGATCATTTCGCGACAAAACCGCGCACGAAACCGAACAAAAACACTGGGAATGGACGTCCGAGCGATGGCGAGAGGCCCGACCCTTTCCCACGGGCCGGCTTTGCATCCCGGGTCGTAGTCTTGTGACGGCCCCGAGGCCCGGCGAGGGCACCCCCGGGGCCGATGATAGCGAAAGCCTCCCGCCCTGATTTTGTTTACGGCGCGAGCATGTCTGGGAGGAGGAGGCGGAGGAGGACGAGGACGAGGACGAGGACGAGGACGAGGACGAGGACGAGGACGAGGACGAGGACGAGGACGAGGACGAGGACGAGGAGGAGGAGGAGGAGGAGGGAGGGAGGAGGAGGGAAGGAGGAGGAGGGGGAGGGAGGGAGGAGGAGGGAGGAGGAGGAGGGGGAGGAGGAGGAGGAGGAGGGAGGAGGAGGAGGAGGAGGAGGACCAGTGCAAGCCCAAGGCTCATCAGACCCATGGTACTGGTGAGGCCCAAGTGGCCCTCGCCTCCGGGGCCGGCGCCCGGGCCGCCCTGGTGCAGGCCGCCGCCAGAGGGAGGCGCCGTCCGCCCGCCCATCTGCTGCCGGCCAGCCCTGCGCCGGCGCCCTTGTGCTGGGCTGGCGCCCGAGATGCCGAGCACCAGAGGAGTTCAAACACAGACATGCTCGCGTCACTTGGCATCGCTCGGACGTGTGCATTTTCCCTCCGGCGAGGATCATCGAGGAGCATCCTTAATCATTTGGCGAAAAAAACACGCATGAACCCGAAAAAAAGCACAGGGAATGGACGTCCGAGCGATGGCCAGGTTATGACAGTAGACTGGGCGGGAGTTGTTTGGCTATTTTCGGCCCCCGGGGGCCTTCGCCGGGCCCAGGCCAGTCAAGAAGCGACTCGGGGTGTAAAGCCGGTCCTGGGGACGCCGTCCTGAAAAAGTCTGGCCGTTGCATGTCTGGGAAGTCACCCAGAGATCCGACGGTCCAAAAGAATTGGAGCGGCCGATTTTTTGCCTTTCTCGGCTTCCAGGGGCCCTCGCCAGGACGAAAGACCGGCCCGAGGGAAGTGGTCTGGACCTCTGGGGCCTACGCATCGAAAAATTTTTCCGCCAGATGTCCGGGGAGGAGGAGGAGGAGAAGGTACCCATGCCGCTACCGTTGATCGTTTTCCATTTTTTGGTGGGCCTCCTGGGAGGCCCTTGTCGCCACCGCCGGATCCGCCTCGAAGTCCTTGTCAGCGCGCCCCAGGAGAGGTCCTGGGGGGAGCGGTGTGGGTACTCCAGACACGCGGCGACGTCCTGATTTTTTCAGGGCGGCGTCTCTGGAAGTCCCGACCCTTTCCCCAGGGCAGGCTTTGCCTCCCGAGTCGTTGCTGGGCGGCCACGGGGCCGGGCAAGGGCCCCCAGGGGCCGAGAATTGCGAAAACCCGCCCGTTATGTTTTTTGTCACGACGCGAGCACGTCTCGGACCCTTTTCAGGAGCATCGTCGATTTCCCCCAAAAAAACGTCCAAAGTGGACCCGAGGCTCAGAACGACCCACGGCTCTCGACCCCCTTCCTCCTCCTCCTCCTCCTCCTCCTCCTCCTCCTCCTCCTCCTCCTCCTCCTTCTCCTCCCCCCTCCTCCTCCCACTTTCTCCTCCTCCTCCTCCTCCCTCCTCCTCCTCCTCTCCTCCTGCCTCCTCCTCCCCTCCTCCTCCCCCCTCCTCCTCCCCTTTTCTCCTCCTCCTCCTCCTCCTCCTCCTCCCCTCCTCCTCCTCCTCCTCCTCCTCCTCCCCCTTCTCCTCCCCCCTCCTCCTCCCCCTTTCCTCCTCCTTCCTCCTCCTCCCTCCTCCCTCCTCCTCCTCCTCCTCCTCCTCCTCCTCCTCCTCCCCCCCCTCCTCCCCCCCTTCCTCTCCTCCTCCTCCTCCTCCTCCTCCTCCTCCTCCTCCTCCTCCTTCTCCCCCACCCTCCTCCTCCCCTTTCTCCTCCTCCTCCTCCTCCTCCTCCTCCTCCTCCTCCTTCCTCCTCCTCCTCCTCCTCCTCCTCCTCCTCCTCCTCCTCCTCCTCCCCCCTCCTCCTCCCCCTTTCCTCCTCCTCCTCCTCCTCCTCCTCCTCCTCCTCTCCTCCTCGCCTCCTCCTCCTCCTCCTCCTCCTCCTCCTCCTCCTCCTCCTCCTCCTCCTCCTCCTCCTCCTCCTCCCCCTCCTCGAGCCACGGGCGCCGCGGGCCAGAAGCAGGTCGGGCCGGAGGGTCGGAGGGTGCCTGGGCTCGTCGGGCGTGGGGTCTCCCTGGCCCGAGCCGTGGGCCAGGGAGGCGTCAGGCCCGACGGGAGGAAAGACGAGGGGGAAGGGCAGCCAGGACAGAGGAAGAGGAGGGGGCACTGGAGAGGCGCGCGCGCGAGAGCGGAGAGAGAGAAAGAGAGAGAGAGAGAGAGAGAGAGACCGCCCCGCCGCGCCCCCCCCTGGGCCTCGTGATGGGGTGCTCCGGAGGCTATCCGCCGCCTGCGCCAGCTGGTACTGTACATGCTCAACGCATGGCGAAGACATGAGCCTGGCGAAGGACCCAACCGTGTGCACTTGTGGGCACCGCAGCTGTAAGTATCGTCGTTGGTGGAGCCCCCCTTGTAGGGCCACGAAGCGCTGTACTGGATGGGGGAGACGCATGCGGGCTGCACCACTGGGACAGTCGGTGGAGCTCCGTACGGGGCCACGGAACGCTGTACTGGGTGGGGGAGACGCATGCGGGCCGCGCCACTGGGACCTTCGGTGGAGCTCCCTATGGGGCCACGGAACGCTGTACTGGGATGTGGGAGACGCATGCGGGCTGCGCCACCAGGACCTTCGGTGGAGCTCCCTATGGGGCCACGGAGCCCTGTGCTGGGTGGCGTAGCCGCACGAGAACTGCGGAGGAGGAGGAGAGGAGAGGAGCGGAGGAGAGGCGGAGGAGCGCGGGGCGCTGTCTTTTCAAAACGAGGACCCAACACCACAGGATGGTTGGGACAAAAGAGCCATACATATAAACTGTTGGCGCTCCGCGCGGATTTCTTGGATCCGCGCTGGGCCCCCCCGGCGGCGTCTCCAGCGCCGCCCATGCCGCGCTCCGCGCGTCAGGGAGGGGGGTCCAGCGCGAATCTAAGAAATCCGCGCGGAGCGCCCAAAGTTCATATTTATGGCGTTTTTGTTTTTAAATCTGGCTACACACTTGGTGATGTAACATACTAATGTTTGGCCTCCGTTTGCCATTGTAGCTGCCGCCAGGCTGCAGAGTTTCGAGTTTCCTCTGTGACTGAATGCCTTTCTTCTTTCATTGTGGCTGTATGCCTTGGTATCTGCTGTCATCTGTTGATGCTGGAGGCCATCTGGGCCTCCTGCGCCTGGGGAATCCTGGGGGCACCGGCGGCCACGGACGCCTTAGCCCGCCACGGCTGGTGGCCCTGCTTTTTATGCCGCAATGGCCTTCTCCTCCCTGGCCGTGCTGCAGGTCCCGTCGTTCGTGGCACGAACACGGTGGAATGGTGACACGCGTGGCGATGGCGATGGCGATCCCGATGATTTCAATGATGCTGCTGCTGCTGATGATGCTGATGATGGTGATTATGGTGATGGTGATGGTGATGGTGATAAGGGATGGTGGTGATGGTGGTGGTGATGTTGATGGTAATGGTGATGATGGTGATGGTGGTGATGATGACGGTGATAAGGGATTGTGGTGATGGTGATGATGGTGATGGTGATGTTGGTGGTGATGATGATGGTGACAATCGTGGTGGTGATGGTGATGATCATGGTGATGCTGGTGGTGATGGCGATGATGATGATGATGCTGATCATGATGATGCTGATGACGATAATGATGGTGATAGTGATGATGATGCTGCTGATGATGCTGGTGATGCTGCTGCTGATGATTTTGATGATGACGACGATGACGATGACGATGACGATGGCGATGATGATGATGGTGATAATGAGGATGATGCTGATGATGGTGACGATGATGATGGTGATGGTGATGGTGATGATAAGGGATGTTGGTGATGGTGATGGTGGTGATGATGGTGATGGTGATGGTGATGATGGTGGTGGTGGTGATGGTGGTGGTGATGACGGTGATAAGAGTTGGTGGTGATGGTGTTGATCGTGATGGTGATGGTGGTGGTGATGATGATGATGATGATGACAATCGTGGTGGTGATGGTGATGATGATGGTGGTGGTGATGGCGATGATGATGACGATGATGATGATGATCATGACAATGATGCTGATGACGATAATGATGGTGATAGTGATGATGCTGCTGGTGATGCTGTTGATGCTGATGCTGGTGATGCTGCTGCTGATGATTTTGATGATGACGACGATGACGGAGACGATGGCGATGATGATGATGATGATGATGATGATGATGATGACGATGATGATGATGATGATAATGCTGATAATGCTGACGATGTTGATGATGGTCATGATGGTGACGATGATGATAATGTCGATGATGATGATGATGGTGGTGGTGATGATGATGACAATCGTGTCGGTGATGGTGACGGTGATGGTGATAAGGGATGGTGGTGTTGGTGGGGATTATGGTGGTGATGGTGACAGTGATGGTGATGGTGATGTTGACGGTGGTGGGGGATGTTGATGGTGACTGTGATGGTGATGGTGATGGTGATGGTGATGGTGATGGTGATGTTGATGTTGGTGGTGATGGTGATCGTGATGGTAATGGTGATGATGGTGATAGTTGTGGTGAGGATAAGTGGTAAGGATGGTAAGGCTGAGGCTGAGGATGGGGATGGGGACGAGGATGAGGATGAGAATCATGATGTTGATGCTCATAGTGGTGATGATGATGGCGATGATCAAGTTCATGACGATGGTGACGATGACGGTGGTGATGATGATGGTGATTGGTGGTTGGTGGTTCGTGATTGGTGGTGGTAATGTTGATGGTGATTACGGTGATGAGCAGGAGGAAACGGGGGATCATGAAATGAAACAGGATGCAACGAGTTGAAGGGATGGGGCAGAACGATCAGGAGGGTATGGGAGAGGAGGAGCAGAAATGAGATAGAGAGGAGTTCGGAGGAGGCGGAGGAGGATAGCTAGGAGGACTGATGGGGAGGGTAAGATGGGACGCGCGACAGCCAGGAGAAGTCGAAGGACGAGAACACCGTGCTCGCCTCGCTGTCCTGCAACAAGAACGCCTACGGACAGCTCACGTGGAACCAGAAGGCCTCGCCGTGGAGGGGGCAGTTGGCCTCAGCGGTAGCAGCAGCAGGAGGGGAAAAGGAGGAGCAGGAGGAGGAGGAGGAGGGAGGGAGGAGGTCCACATCCTCCTTGATCCTCCTCCTCCTTCTCCTCCTCCTTCTCCTCCTCCTCCTGCCGTCAGGCCAGGCATGGAGTGCCTGCCACCGCGGAAGAGCGGTACAGCCTGGGCTCCGGTGACCACCCGCAGGACTGGCGGAGGCGGGTGGGGCCTTTGCCCAAAGTGGCGGGGGCAGCCCCTGCCCAGCAGGGGCAGGGGCGACCGCCCTGGGGTGTTCCTTCCCCAGGTGGCTGCTGGCCGCGTGGGCCCCTCGGCGGTCAGAGGACTCCACCCTCTCAGGGCTCGTTTCGATTCCTCCGATTCGATTCGATTCGACTTCGATGGATTCCGATTCCGATTCGATTCGATTTGGGCTTCCGATTTGGATTCCGATTTCTTATTGGAGGCATACTAGCCTGCCGATTTCCGCCGATTCGACTTTTCCCGATTCGGCTGCCGATCTCCGCCGATCCGATTCATGTCGATTGCCGATCCGATTTATCGATTCGATTCTGGGCTCTCCTGCCCTCTCGCTGTCGGTGGGGCGCGGCTGGCGGATTCCTCCTCTCTGGGTATCCCCCTCTTCTCGTCGCCAAGTTCTGTTGCCCACCCCTTCCCCCCACGGCCCGGGTACCCCGCCCAGGCGTGCGCGGGGGTGGGCGGGTCGCCTGCGGGCGGCTCATCCGGGTACCCCCGCCCAGCTTTCCCACGGCCGCGGTTCCCCGCCCGGCGCGCGTGGGGGTGGGGCGGCACGGCCTCCTGGCGTGAGGCGCGTCGTTACGGTTGTTGGGCGCAGCTCGAAAATCCCATGAGGCAGGCAGTGCGCGCGCTGCTTGCTTTTCGGCCCGAGGTCGCATGGTTCTCCTAGGTGCACCACTCGTGTGCCTGCTTTTTCTGGCTGGCGTGTATGCGTGCCGGTGTCAGCCCTCGAAGTGCCGTGCTCGACGGCCGCCTAGTCTCTCTCATTGCCAGCGACCAGGTCGGCATGAGAAGTCACGCAGAGCAGCGCAGCGATAAAATGATCCTCCTCCTCCTCCTCCTCCTCCTCCTCCTCCTCATCATCATCATCATCATCATCATCATCATCATCATCGGTCCCTGGTTCTGCAGCTTCCTCGACGCTCCTCGAATGAGGGGGGGGGCAGGTGCGCCTCTTCGGCCTGGTGGCGGCGCCCGACCTCAACGGCCGGACCAGCGCCGAGGGTTCATGTGCCAAAGTATTTTTGCTGTTCTCTTGTACCCGGCGGGCGCCTATTCTATGTGCCTTATTTGCCGCTTTACTTTTCGCACTGCCTTTTCCGCGAAGCCCGCCAGGTATTTTCTGCGCCGAGCATGACATCTTTATTATCTGATTTCCAGCAAGAGCGCTCCAGCCACGTAGCCACAGTCTGAGCAACGTCAAAAAGGAGCAGGAGGAGGAGGAGGAAGACCAGAGCAATTCAAGGATGCATGCGCGATGGCCAGACACCCTCCCGTCCCAAGCCCGTCCTCACACGCCCTTGCAAGTCCTCCTTTTTCACTGCAGGAAGCGCCCCCCACCCCCGAAAGACCAGCATAGACGGTCTAACATTTGAGCGAGGGCCCCGCTTTGAACAGCAATCGCATTGCGCCGCACCGGCGCGCAATCAGGACCGCGACGGACACCGATCATACAGATCAGCGCGGCGTCTTGCGAGTGCCCCTTCTTCGAAGAAAGGCCGCCCCTGCCCTTTTGGGCCCGAAAACAGCGACAGAAACCGCCCGTCCTGATTTTTGTGCGACTCGGGGGTGGATAGAACCCCCAACAGTGACACGTCGATTTGTGAATTGTCCGTTTCGGTTCTCGAGAGGGCGCCGTGGCCGTTATTTTCCAGGCTTGCGCCCACCAGGTTTTGGCCTCAGGTCGTTTTCGCTAAACCACGTTTTACTAAAGGGGGGTATGTCCATCCCCGAGCGACGCGATCATGTCTGGGGTGCGGCCATGCACTTCAGTCCCAAGCGGCAGCCCCATCTTGAATACCAGCCGCCGTTGGTCCGTGCGACGCTGCACGCAATGAAGCATCGGGCCTTTAGATTTAGCAAAGCCCCAGGCGAGAGCCCCGCGTGGAAAAAAAGGAGCGGCCTCAAGTCGGGCCTGTCCCTTTACCAGTGGAGTCTACAACATAACAGCCAAAAAAACATGATCGCGAGGTTGTTCGATTATTGTCTTATATATATGTATATATACATATCATGCTTAGTATATTTTGAAATTTGCCCTTTCAAAATCCGCCTGTAGGAGGACACGCCCGACCCGAGACTAGCCCTCCATCCTGCTAGCCGATCCGTTTAAAACACGAGTGCGCGCGGCGCTGGGGCGCGAACCCCAGCTTGAAAACGACCAATGTCCATTCCGTAAAACAGGGCAAGGATTCGAGACGAATCTTCGCAGTGCTAAGCCGTGAACACCACTTTGAAAAGGAACAGCCAAATATTTGTGAAGCTGGTACCAACTTTGTGACGAATGTGCGCGGCGTTCAAGCGACACCATATTTGTCAAGCGTGCCCCCTTTCCATTTGTGAAATTGTTTCAAGTTTCTGAGGTGATTGTGCCGGGCGCCACGGCGAGAGCTACATTTGTGAAAACGACCGCATCTCATGTTCCAAATTGTTGCAACCGTTTCAGATGTTTGTCCGCCTCCTCAGGACGGGAATCACATTTGGAATCCCCCGAACGTCTGTGAACATGTTGCAAAGTTTCAAGACGAGTATGCGCGGCGCCAATGCAGGAATGCCATTTTGAAAACGATCGCCCCTCCAGCCGCGAAGTGACTGCAAACTTTACGGCGAATGCGCGCGGCGTCAAGCGATACCCACTTTTTGATAACCACGCGCCTCCATCCGCGAAACGGCTGCAAACTTGTAAGACGACGGCCTGGGAACCACCCGCCTCCATCCGTGATCTGGCTGCAATATGTTAGGCGACTGCGTGCGGCGGGAGATCGAGAACCAGAGTTTGGAAAGCAACCGTCCCTCGTTTGCGAAATTGCTGCGGTGTGTGAAAACGAGCGTTTCCAACGTCATGGCGCGAACCACGTTTTGAGAACGCCTCCCTGTCAAGCTCCGAAGCAGCGTCCAACGTTTCAGACGAGTGCGCGCGCGGCGCTACAAGGATACCCACATCTTGGAAACCACCCCCCATCCATCCATGATGGTGGTGCATTTTTTACAACGAGTATGAGCGGCGCTCCGGCGCGGACCAAGTGTTGAAGACCCTTTTCCCTCCAGCGCGCGGCGGTAAGACGAGTGACCCCGTCGTCGTTGTCCGTGAAGATGTTGCAAACGTTTCAGACGAACGTGCGCGGCGCTAAGGCGAAATTGGCGATGGCGATGACGACGACGACGACGCTGCAGATTTAGAGCTGCAGGAACCCGAGCGGTGAGAGAAAACCTCTGACAAGACGGCTGGCTCGTTCTCCACCGACGGGGATGAAGCATATCCTTAATGATGGAGCAAGGTGGCGAGGATGGGGAGGAGGGGGAGGAGGAGGAGGAGGAGGAGGAGGAAGAGGAGGAAGAGGAGTGGGAGGAAGAGCAGGAGGAGGAGGAGGAGGAGGAGGAGGAGGAGGGAGAGGAGGAGGGGCAGGAAGAGCAGGGATGGGGCACAATGATGAACGAGGAGGAGGAGAAAAGGAGAAAAGGAGAAGGAGGAGGAGGAGGCAGAGGAGGAGGAGGAGGAGGGGAGAGGGGGAGAAACAGGAGAGGGGGAGGAGGGAGGAGGAGGAGGGGAGGAGGGGAGGAGGAGGAGGAGGAGGAGGAGGAGGAGGAGGAGAAGAAGGAAAACGAGGAGGAGGAGGAGCGGGAAGAGGCCGAGGAGGGATGATGATGGGTAAGAGGATGCCCGGGAGGGGCAGATGGTCCAGGGGAAGGACGAGCAGGAGCAGGACGACGAGGTTGAAGAGATGGGGGGGAGGAGGGCTCCGTGCAGGGCATGTGGTTCCCGTTCAGCAACGTCACTCTGGGGCTGCAGGCCTGCACGACTCGCTAGCGCGGCAAGCCTCTCGCGAGCTGCCTGCTGTGCTGGGCAGGGCTCGACATGGACGGTGCCTTTGCGACTTCGAGGGCCGCTTTCGTTGCGATTTCGTTTCGCAGCAAAGGCGGGACGAAAACAGAACGAGGGAAACCGAAAACAAAACGAAAACGGAAAACACCGTTTGGGTCGAGCCCTGGTGCTGGGATGGGGTTGACCTGTTCGTCCTCCGCCGCCTCCTCCTCCTCCGCCATCCCCTCGTCCCCCATCCACCGTGACCCCTTCCGCCTCTGATCATTATGTACTGGACTTCTGCAGTCGCGACCGACAAGATCGGTCGCTATTGGTGTTGCTTCAGATTCGGTATTTGTCGCGACCGATTTGCTTCGAAATCGGTCGCGACCGGTCGGTCGCGACCGGTCGGCCGCGATCGGTGTCGACCGGTCGCGACCGATTTTGGGATCGGTCGCGATCGGTCGCGACCGATTTGAAGTGCCGATCGGCCGCTACCGATCGCGACCGCAAAATAGCGGTACCCAATGATCTGGGTCCCCCTGGGTCATCCCAGGAGGACCCAGGAGCACCCAGATCCTCCTCCTCCTCCTCCTCCTCCTCCTCCTCCTCTTCTGCTTGCTCCTCCTCCTTCCTCCTCCTCCTCCTCCTCCTCCTCCTCCTCCTCCTCCTCCTCCCGGGGCCCACTGAGCCCGTTCCCCCTCCTGGGTCCTCCCAGGCCCTCCCTCCCCCTCAGTGCCCCTCCTCTTCGCCATGGAGCGTCCACGGCGGGGGCGGGCCTCAGCCCGCCCCGCCTGGGCCCCGTCTCCAGGCGGGTTCGTCCGCTCCCGCTCCGGCTGGGCCCTTCTGCAACGGGGGCGGGACATCCACCAGCATCGGTTGGCTTGGAGAGGCCTCCGTCTTCGGGCGAAGAGAACTATGCACATGCACTGATCCTGGCAAGGCCCATCCTTGACCCAGGATCGGTGCACATGCCT